TTAACCCTAACCCCCTATGACTTGGTGAGCATTTAACCCCACATAACCTGAGGATCATTTAACCCTAACTACTTGGCCAATTACGTGTCATCTAACCAAAACCCATTTGGCCAATTACGTGACATTTAGTCAAAAATCACTTGGCCAATTACGTGTCATCTAACCAAAACCCATTTGGCCAATTACGTGACATTTAGTCAAAAATCACTTGGCCAATTACGTGTCATCTAACCAAAACCCATTTGGCCAATTACGTGACATTTAACCAAAAATCACTTGGCCAATTGAGTGGACACTTGACCTTGATCTTGACAACTGGATACATACTGCACATATCACTACAGGTTAATGAATGACTTGGCTAATATATACTATCAGGTACTTGCAGCCATGTGTATATACTATTACAGGTTAATGAATGACTGCACATATCACTATATGCTAACAAATAGCTCCACTTGGTCAATATATACTATTACAGGTTAACCGAGTGACTGCATATATTAACCAAGGTTAATGGCTATCCCCATATGTTTCCAGTTGTTTGAATATATCACTATGAGTTAGCAAGTCATTCAAGACCATTCAAAACCATTTTAGATCATTACAATATCATTTTAGATCATTACAAATAAATAAACTAGTCATCACTGCTGTTTGCATATACTATTACAGTCTCATTAAACTCAGAGTGAACCCCATCATTAGAGTCTTCTATTCAACCCAACTATAATACTATAACACTATTGCAAAAGTCTTTGGTTGATTGCGTACTTTAATCAAAACTATCCACAAAACGGTCAATGAAAAAAAGCGCTTTGAACATGACAAATCATTGCTTTGAACACGACATTGATTCATTGCTTTGAACATGACAAATCATTGCTTTGAACATGACAAGCATCATTGCTTTGAACACAGCAAATCACTGCTTTGAACACAACATTGATCCGCTGCTTTGTAACACTCGGCTAATCTCTGACTGTCCGTTAAGTTGTTCAACTCTAAATGTGTCAATCATTAGTATGTATATGTAATCAATCAGTTAATCAGTTACATGAATGGTTAATCAATCAACCTGTTACATGAATGGTTTGTCAATTAATTAATCAATCATTAGTATACATATGTAATCATTCACTAATTCAATCTGTTATATATCTAGTTCATCAATCAATCAGTCTGTTACATGTCTAGTTTGTCATTCACTCAATCACTAGTATGCATATCTAGTTTGTCAGTTAATTAATCAATGATCAGTATGCATATCTGGTTTATTATTCACTAATTCAATCTGTTACATGAATGGTCAATTAGTCAATGATCAATCTAGTTTGTCACTCAATTTATTACATGGTTTGTCAATCAGTTACATGAATGGTTAATCAATCAACCTGTTACATGAATGGTCAATTAATTAATCAATCATTAGTATACATATGTAATCATTCACTAATTCAATCTGTTACATGATCAATCAATTAATTAGTCAATGATCAGTCTAGTTTTTCTGTCAATCAGTCTGCTACATGAATGGTTAATCAATCTGTTATATATCTAGTTCATCAATCAATTAATGATCAGCCAAATTTGTCAATTAATTAATCTGTTACATGAATGGTCAATCAATCACTAGTATGTATATCTAGTTACTCAATCAGTTACATGAATGGTCAATTAATTACTAGTTACTCAATCACTAATTCAATCTGTTATATATCTAATTTGTCACTCAATTTATTACATGGTTTGTCAATCAGTCTGTTACATGAATGGTCAATTAATCAATGATATATCTGGTTTGTTAATTAATCATTAATATGTATATTTAGTTAATCAATCAGTCAATCAATCACTAGTATGTATATCTAGTTTGTCAATTAATTAATTGTCATTTTACATGTATGATCAATCAATCAGTCTGCTACATGAATGGTTAATCACTAGTACATATATTTACTCAATCAATTACTAGTACGTATATTTAATCAGTCAATTACATGTGTGGTTTGTCAATTAATTAATATGTTGTACATTTAGTTTGTCAATCAATCAATCATCAGTCAAGTTTGTCAATCAATTAATCATTAGTATGTATATCTAGTTCATCAATCAATTAACTAATCAATATATTACATTTATTATCAATCAATCATTATGCTATATTATAGGCAATTAACCATTCAGTCAATTAATTCAATTAATCAATCAAAACGCTACATGGTTAATCACTCAATTAATCTGTCAACTCTCTGTCTGGTTTGTCAATCAATTAGTCATTAATATGTATATCTAGTTCATCAATCAATTAACTAATCAATTGACCATTCAGTCAATTAGTCATTCATTAATTCAATCAATTAAATGTATGGTTTGTCAATTAATCAAAACGTTAAATGGTTAATCAATTAATCAATCAATCAATCAAAATGTTAAATGTATGGTTTGTCAATTAATCAAAACGTTAAATGGTTAATCAATTAATCAATTTGTTACATGTATGGTTTTTCAATTAACTAATATGTTGAATGTATAATTAATTAGTCAATCAATCATTTAAAATGCTAAATGTATAATTACACAATCAATCAAAACGTTAAATGGTTAATCAATCAATTATTCAATCATTTAAAATGCTAAATGTATGGTTTGTCAATTAATCAATTAATCAAAACGTTAAATGGTTAATCAATCAATTATTCAATCATTTAAAATGCTAAATGTATGGTTTGTCAATTAATCAATTAATCAAAACGTTAAATGGTTAATCAATTAACTAATATTTTGAATGTATAATTAATTAGTCAATCAATAATTCAAAATGCTAAATGTATGGTTTGTCAATTAATCAATAACTCAATTTGTTACATGTATGGTTTTTCAATTAACTAATATGTTGAATGTATAATTAATTAGTCAATAATTCAAAACGTTAAATGGTTAATCAATTAATCAAAACGTTAAATGTATGGTTTGTCAATTAATCAATAACTCAATTTGTTAAATGGTTAATCAATTAATCATTTAAAATGTTAAATGTATGGTTTTTCAATTAACTAATATGTTGAATGTATAATTAATTAGTCAATCAATCATTTAAAATGCTAAATGTATGGTTTGTCAATTAACTAATATGTTGAATGTATAATTAATTAGTCAATCAATCATTTAAAATGCTAAATGTATGGTTTGTCAATTAATCAAAACGTTAAATGGTTAATCAGACACTCAATCAATTAAAATGTTAAATGTATGGTTTGTCAATTAATCAATTTGTTACATGTATGGTTTGTCAATTATTTAAAATGCTAAATGGTTAATCATTCAATTAATCAAAACGTTAAATGGTTAATCAATTAACTAATATGTTGAATGTATAATTAATTAGTCAATCAATAATTCAAAATGCTAAATGTATGGTTTGTCAATTAATCAATTAATCAAAACGTTAAATGGTTAATCAATCAATTATTCAATCATTTAAAATGCTAAATGTATGGTTTGTCAATTAATCAAAACGTTAAATGTATGGTTTGTCAATTAATCAATAACTCAATTTGTTACATGTATGGTTTTTCAATTAACTAATATGTTGAATGTATAATTAATTAGTCAATCAATAATTCAAAATGCTACATGGTTAATTACACAATCAATCAAAACGTTAAATGTATGGTTTGTCAATTAATCAATAATTCAAAATGCTACATGGTTAATTACACAATCAATCAAAACGTTAAATGTATGGTTTGTCAATTAATCAATTAATCAAAATGCTACATGGCTAATCAATCAATTATTCAATTATTCAAAACGTTAAATGGTTAATCAATCAATCATTTAAAATGTTAAATGTATGGTTTGTCAATTAACTAATATTTTGAATGTATAATTAATTAGTCAAACACTCAATCAAAATGCTACATGTATAATTACACAATCAATCAAAACGTTAAATGGTTAATCAATCAATTAATCATTCAATCAATATGCTACATGTATAATCAATCAATTAATCAATCATTCAAAACGCTACATGGTTAATCAATTAATCAATTAAATGTATGGTTATTCAATTAATCATTACTATATATGATCAATTAGTCATTAGTACGTATATTTGATTTTTCAATCAATTAAATGTATGGTTTGTCAATTAACTAATATGTTGAATGTATAATTAGTCAAACACTCAATCAAGACGTTGCATGTATAATTACACAATCAATCAAAACGTTAAATGTATAATCAATTGGTCAATCAATCACTATTAGTATGTATAATTAATTGGTCAATCAATTAATCTGTTAAATGTATAATTAATTAATATGTTGCATGTATAATTAATTAGTCAATCAATATGTTATATGCATGGTTTGTCAATTAATCATTTATTCAAGACGTTAAATGTATAATCAATCAATTAATCATTACTATGTATAATCAATTAGTCAATCAAAACGTTAAATGTATAATTAATTATTCATTCATTCATTAGTATGTATAATTAATTGGTCAATCAATCATTCAATTAATCATTAGTATGTATAATTACACAATCAATCAATATGTTATATGCATGATCAATTAACCATTCATTCAATGTCAGGTTTAGTTTCACACTTGTATATCTGCTCTACATTGGATTGCCATTATACATACTATATATATCACCTGTCCAAATCGGGTTGCAATACCTTGCATATTGCTAAAGTTGAGCATTTAATATGCATCATTCAAATCACATATTAAATGCTCAACTACACAATAAATATACAAGAGTGGGTGAGTTTGATACTATGCCAGTGTATATACACACTTGGTATTGTATCATGTTTAATGTATGCATGTTTGGTGCTGTAACAATTCAATAATTGGTTTGGTGTTTGGTGATTGAAAGTCGGTTGATAATGTGTTAATAACTCGGTCCACAGTGGTCGTACAGTCTTGGGACCAACTTTAATCGACTCGGGGCTACAAACTATGGTATATTTGATATA